GGGGGGGTGAGGGACACCAGCAGGGCTGTGTGGGGCATTTAATTTTAACCACGGATTTTGGCATTTTTATCAGAGAATTTGTGATTTTTTTTAATCATGGTAAACCAGGATCCCTGGACATGAGGAGAGGCTGTGAAAACTGGGCTCATTTAGTCAGGAGAAGAGAAGATGGAGGGGGATTGAATAGCAGCCTTCACCTCCCTGCAGGGGGGCTGCAAAGAGGATGGAGCTGGGCTGTTGTCAGAGATGGCAGGACAAGGAGCAATGGGCTCAAGCTGCAGCAAGGGAAGTTGAGGTTGAATATTAGGAAAATCTTTCTCACGAGGAGGGTGGTGAAACACTGGAACAGGCTCCCTAGAGAGGGGGTGGAGTTGAAGACCGGGGTAGACAAAGCCTTGGCTGGGATGATGTAGTTGGGGCTGGTCCTGCTTGGAGCAGGGGCGGGGTTGGGTTAGATGTGACCTCCTGCGATCCCTTCCAGCCCTCATTATTTTGTGTGTCTGGGCGGGGGGGGGAAGGGAGGGGGGCAGACAGCCCAGCTGGCTCCTGGACCTGGGGCAGAACAGCCAGGAAGCACTGGGATCAGCTGCTGCTGCAGCTCCATGGTGGAGGAGAGAAGGAAGCCCAGGACACGCAGCAGTGCCAGCCTGCCTGTGCACACGTGTGCAGTCATCAGTTCCCAAACTCACCTGTCCCTGTCCCCACTCCCCCTACCCCCAACACCACCTGGGGCCTTCAGCGCCCTGGCCAGGAGGTGACGGGGTGGACACGTGCATGATGGGATGCGGCACCTGGACACAGCCAGTGCTCAGACAGCTGCCCCTGCTTGCATACAGGCCGATGGCTTCACCCCCAAGAGCATAGGGGCCAGGCCCACAATGACACCTGTGTAGCAAAGCACCCCCCCTCCACATGCACCACTGCCTGCCCCAGTGTCTTCAACACTGTGCAGCTGGTGCCACCTGCCCGTGGTGCCCAAGGACCAGCACACCCATCAGTGCTTGAACCACTAGCATCTTGGTAGCCCTGGGTCTAGCCCCATCAGGACACAACATCAGTGCTCTCCTGCCTGGCCTGTGCTCTCAGAGCCCTGTCACCACCCCAACACCCATCCAAGGCAGGTTTGGAGGAGGTGGACTCCCTGCCCCCCCACCCACCCACATGAAGAGTAGGACTGAGTGCTGCACCATTGGTGACATAATTTAAAAGCCCTGATTGTGCCTGAGCACATGAGCTGGCACAAGGCCACTCACCTACCTCACCCAGTGCTTGCCCTGGTCCAGTGCTCTGACCGTAGCCCTCCCTGGACAAAGCCTGCAGAGGTTTGGTGCCAAGTCCCCTACTGCCCGTAGCGTGGCTGAGAGCAGCCAGAGCCACCCTCTGCCACTGGCAAAATTCAGCGGGGACTTTCATAGTAGCTGGGGTCAGGAGGGACCTGAACAGATCATCTAGCCCCCCCCCCTGCCACAGGCAGGAATGAATGCTGGGTTCACAAGACCCCAGACAGGTGATCGTCCAACCTCCTCTTGACTTTGCCCAAGGTAGGGGGGTGAGGACCACTTCCCTGGGAAGTTGGTTCCAGGTTTTGGCCACCCTAACTGTAAAATGTTGCCTTCTGATCTCCAACCTAAAACTATTCTCCACCAGCTTATGACCATTGTTCCTTGTCACCCAGGTGGTGCTGGAGAGAAAAGGGCTCTGCCTGTTTGCTGTTGATTCCCCGCTGATGAGCTTGTAGGCAGACTGTTGGCTCGCAGTCTCACAGAGGCCAGGTGATAGGTATCCAGGTCACAGCACGGGTGTTAAATGCAGGCTGGCACAAGCCCAGGTTTCAGCAAATGTTTATTAAGCACAGGGCAGGCTGGAGCTGTGCCTAACTGGCCATCCCAGTTACAAAACTGCAGCACAACAACCACCTGGGTGAAAAGGCTGCTCCAAGGTCCACTCCCAGGGATAGGGGGAGGTGGGAAAGCAGACAGGCAGCAGTGAAGCTGGAAAAGGGGCACTAGCTTGAGGCCCCAGTGATGGGGCCTGTCAGACCAGGGGCAGAGCCTTCCAGCAGTGCGCCTGCACTTTCTCCAGCCTCTTGGCAGAGTGGAGCAGCACCACGCAGAGCGCCCCATGTCTCCCCTCCCCACCCTGCTGCCTGACAGCCATCCCTTGTAACCCTGCACCTTAGTGCCTTCCCGTACCCAGCACGCCCAGGCCCGCACAGTGCCCTGCAAGATACAAGCCTACACGGGGATGTGTTTTCTTCAACGTGCTGTTGGTTTCCACGCCCCCACCCCGCCCCCTGTCCTTTGCTGGACGTGGCCTGTGCCTACCAGCTGCTCCGGGACAGCACGACCTGAATGGGCAGGAGCTGCTGCAGCAGCTCCTCAGGAGGGTGGTGACACTTGGTGACAACGAACAGTTTGAATTTCTTGGTCCGGGCCTCCTGGAACGCGGTGCGGGAATACTCGGGGCCGTCAGTCGCTCTGGCTAAGCACAGGTACCTGCAGGAGGCAGCGAGCAGTGCTGTAGGGAGCCAGAGTACTGCAGCACACAGGCCCTGGATTGGGCCCTGGAGCCCTTCAACAGCATCCCCCTACTTCAGCCCATGCCACAGAGCTTGGCACTGGCAGAGCAGCTGCCTGTGCATCGACTACAGCAGTCCTGGAGCAACCCCGGGAGCCCATGCTGCACACACCCAAGACCATGTCTTAGGCAGGCTGGATGGCTCAGGGACATGCAGTTAGGCCTCACTGCTTGGCAACGAGGGCTGTGGGGCTGAGCCTCAGCAGGGGGAGAGGCCTCTCTACCATCCTGGATGAGTGCACCGCCCACTAGACTCGGGTGCAAAAGAAGGGCATCACTGTAGGGAAGCTGTGCCAGTCACCTCAGCTGTCAACAGAGGAAGCTGTACTGACTCCTGGCTGGCGGCACCAGATCAGAAACAAGCTCTGTGACCAGGGTCATCACGGGCGCACTTTGGGGGGCCCCAGAGCCGGGCAGAGTGGCTCCTCTGCATCCAGCTGCTTGCTCCCCCCCCCCCTGCCACTGACACTGGCAGCAGCAGCTTCTTCGGGTCCAGGATTGGAGCAGGATGGGGCCCCGCCTGGGCTGATTTGTCCCAGGCCCCGCACCCTGCTTGGGTTGCCTATCTGTGGCGTTAGCTCGCAGGCCACATCAGGGAGCCACATGCACGAGGGACCCTCTGGAACAAGCACTCAGCTTGGCACAGCTGCTTCCCGTGTTCCTTAGCCGCAGGACAGTTTCTGAGGGGGCTGGTGAGGCGCTGCTTCCCCGCCCTCTGCACAAGAGCTGGAGCCATAGCACCTGGGTCACTTGCAGGAGACGCCGATAGCCTCGAAGCAAAGCCCCTTGGTGACAGGGACAACTTAAAGGCGCTCCTGAGGGCAGCCCTGGAGAGCAACGCGCAGCAGGCTGCACATGCTGTGGCTGCTTCAGAAAGGTTTTTTTCTGAATTAAATGACATGCAAGGCTCTGGCCCAGCAGCCCAAGCTAGTGCCTGTTGGATGCAGCCTTTGCAATTGAGGCCCCGTGTATTTTTGCACTAGCAGAACATAACTGCACCCTGGCCGCACACTGGGGAAGTGGTGGTTTTGATACTCAGGGGCACAGGAGCAGTTTGGGCCGAGGCCAACAGGAATACACGTTCGGTGGCAGTCTCTAGTAAAAAGAGAAGGCAAGGGACCCCGGACACCAGAGCTTCAGTTGCACACAGCCATATCCAAAAGGCCACATGTGCTTGGGGATGCATAAAGTGGCTGCACATCCCTTACACACAGGACAGGGGGCCTCTGGCTCCACACCAGGCACTGTCAGGGGCCAAGCCTGAGCCGGTGGAAATGACATCTCACCTCCAGGCCTGAGGGAAGTGACCATTGCAGCAGCCCTCTGGCCGCTCCCTGGGGAAGGGCTGGGAGGTGTCGCTACCTCACCTATGCCTCTGTATCTAGATACTTACAGCTGTCACAACACCAGCAGGAGACAGGCCTCTGGGCTAGGGGTGCTAGCAGAGTAGGTGGGAGGGTCACCCACCACGCCTCTCTTTCGGCTGGGGAGGCGGTCTGGTTGGGGCCAGCAATCATTCTCTGCTGACAGGCGCAGGACTTCCTTAGTCAGTGGTTCCTACCTCTCGTTCTGCATTATCTGCCTGCTGAGAACTGCTTCGGCCAGGCCAGGCGCGATTCCCTCCAGCTGCCTCTTCACAGCATCGAACATGTTCACTTCCATCATGTCAAACACAACTGGCTTTCCATACCTGGGGGGGTGGGGGAGCGGCTGAACAGTGAGTACGTTTCAGAAGAGAGTCCAAGCCCCTCAGCCCAAGTTATCAATTATCACAGGAACTACAGGCCTCAGGCGTTACATGCATAAACTTCTACTCACACTGCCAGGCAGAAGGATCCAGACTGCAGAGAGACGTGCTAGTTTACCTTGGAAAATGTGCTCCCGGCCTCCTTGCCTGACCTGGTTTCCAGGGTACAGGCTAAAACAAAGTTGGTTATTGGACTGGGACTCAGGAACCTCGGCTAAGCTGCTGGCTCTGCCAGAAACTCTGTGTAACCTTAAGCACATCTCAACCACTGTATTCCAGCTTTCCATTCAAACCCTGGGGATAATTATGCTCCTGTTCTCTCAGCCTTGCTCTGACTTGTACATTTAGACTGACAGTGCCATGGGGGCAAGGCTGCTGCTCTTTGCTTACATATTGCCAACCCAACAGGGCCACGATTGCTCCTGACACATGCACCCAGGACCACCTTAGGCAGAGTGAGCCCCACATGCTCAATCAATGAGAGGGATCAATAAGAACACCACTTGTGCTCCAAGCGCCTTAATCCTCCTGCCAAGAGCCTCATGGTCACCTCTCATCTGCTCAGTTTCATTCCTGGCAGTAGCGTTGGTGCCTACATGGACAAGCAGGAAGGGGATAGTGGTCCAAAGCATGGGTGAGCTTTGGCAGTCTTTTTGTGACATCCTGAATTCAGGCTCCAGGCCCTAATGAATTTGTAGGTGGCCACAAGATCCCCTCAGCCTTCTCTTGCAGAGGCTGAAGAAGTCCAGGTCTCCCAGTCTCTCCTCATAGGGCCTGTCCGAGTGGCCCTCCTCTGGACCCTCTCAAGTCTATCAACATCCTTCTTGAAGTGCAGTGCCCAAAACTGGACGCAGTACTCCAACTGCGATCTGACCAGTGCTGCATGGAGGGGAAGTATCGCCTCCTTGGATCTATTCGTTGTGCATCTGCTGATGCAGGATAAAGCTTTTCATTAGCTTTGCTGATGATTTCGTCATGCTGACGACTCATGTTCATCTTGGAGTCCACGATGACTCCGAGATCCCTCTCCTCTTCTGTGCTGCTGAGAGGGTCACTCCCCAGCCAGTCAGAGTGCTGGATAGTTTTGCACCCTAGGTGCAGCACCCTGCACTTGTCCTTGTTGTACTGCATCCTATTGTGTTCGCCCACTCTTTTCTAACCAGTCCAGGTCTGCCTGCAATCGTTCCCTACCCTCCAGAGCGTGCACTTTACCCCTCAATTTAGTATCGTCCACAAACTTGGGCAGAGTACACTTCACACCCACATCCAAGTCACTGATGAAGACATTGAAGAGTACAGGTCCAAGGACTGAACCCTGTGGGACCCCACTGCCCACATCCTTCCAGGTTGATACCGACCTGTCTACTACCACGCTCTGGGTGCGACTGCTAAGCCAATTTGCCACCCACTGGACCATGCAAACATCTATGTCACAGCCTCGTCATTTATTTATGAGAGTAGAATGAGATACCATATTGAAGGCCTTGCTGAAGTCCAAGAAAACAACATCCACCTTTACTTCTGTGTCTAAGCATTTTGTGACCCCGTCAAAGATTTCATAGACATTCGGGCTGGAAGGGATCTCAGAAGATCATCGAGTCCAGTCCAGCCCCCTGCCCCAGGGGCAGGAAGTCAGCAGGGGTCATAGGATTCCAGCAAGATAAACGTCCAAATGTCTCTTAAAGGAGTCCAGAGTAGGTGCTTGCACCACCTCTGGAGGCAGTCTGTTCCAGGCCTTGGGGGCTCGGACAGTAAAAAAGTCCTTCCTTATGTCCAGCCTGAAACGGTCTTGGAGGAGTTTGTGACCATTTGACCTTGTCATCGCTTGGGGTGCTCTGGTGAACAGGTGTTCCCCAGGTCCTGATATACACCCCTTCTATACTTATAGGCAGCCACCAGGTCCCCCCTGAGCCTGAGCTTTTCTAGGCTGAAGAGTCCCATGGCTCTCAGCCTCCCACCATAAGGCCCGTTTTCCTGCCCTCTGATCATGCACGTGGCTCTCCTCTGGACTCTCTCAAGCTTCTCCACATCCTTTTAAAATTGTGGAGCCCAGAACTGGATGCAGTACTCCAGCTGCAGCCTCACCAAGGTCAAGTACAACAGGAGAATGACATCCTGGGATTTGCTTGAGAAGCACCTGTGGATGCAAACCAGAGTTTTGCTCGCTTTACCAACTACGACATCATATTGGTGGCTCATATTCATCTTGTGGTCAATCATGACCCCCAAGTCCCTTTCGGCCATGGTGCTAGCAAGCGTAGCACTGCCAGGCCTATAAGCATGCTGTGGGGTTTTTTTCCCCAAGGTGGAGTACCTTGCACTTGAACACCATTCTCGGGTATCTCTGCTGACATCAAAAAACCATCCTACCACTACTGCCTTCTGAACCTGATGGAAGACAAACCCAAGCACCAGCTACCACTTACATAAAAGGACCTGGGAGGGCAGGGGACAAGAAGCTGGACAGGAGCTAGCAGTGTGCCCTTGGTGCAAAGAAGGCTACTGGCATCCTGGGCTGCATCGGTAGGAGCGTTGCCAGCACATCGAGGGCAGTGATTCTTCCCTTTATTCAGCACTGGGGAGGCCACATCTGGAGTCCTGTGTCCAGTTGTGGGCCCCCACTGCAGAAAGGATGTGGACACATCGGAGAGAGTCCAGTGGAGGGCAACAAAAATGGTTTGGGGCTGGGGGACAGGACTGGTGAGGAGAGGCTGGGGGAAACTGGGCTGATTGAGTCTGCAGAAGAGAAGACCGAGGGGGATTGAATAGCAGCCTTCAATCCCCTGCAGAGTGGCTCCAAAGAGGATGGAGCTGGGCTGTTCTCAATGGTGGCAGATGACAGAACAAGGAGCAATGCGCTCCAGCTGCAGCAAGGGAGGTTTAGGTTGGATATTAGAAAACACTCTCTCACAAGAAGGGTGGTGAGGCACTGGAACAGGTTACCCAGAGAGGTGGTGGACTCTCCATCCTCAGTGGTTTTTAAGGCCCCTGTGTTGGACTGAATTTAGGACCCAGCCCCTATATCTTTGTTCCAGGTGGGCACAACCCTCAGACCGACCACGACCTTTCCGTTCAATAATAGGCACATTTATTGATACAGAGTGAGAACAGAAAAGCAACAATACAAACAATTAAGCAATTCTATATCTACCAATCCTAGGGCTGTCATCAGAGTCAAAGTGCATCTGGTCAGGATGCAGGCTCTACTCTGAGGCTTTCTCTCTCGGGTGTCAGCAGTCTGGAGGTGGGATGCTGAGGCCCACAGCCCCGCTCCAGTGGGGTGCATGAGATGGGCTGCTGGTATGCCCTCAATCCATGGTGGCCTCAGGGACCCTACCCAGGGAGTGGGGACAGGGACAGGGACCCCCCTCAGGGAGGAGGAGGAATGGGGAGGGACGAGACAAAGGAAGAGAAGGAGGGACAGCAAGGAGGGATAGGGAGGGACTCTTTGTTAATCTCAAATCTCTGCTTTTGTATTCTCCTTCCCCCTTGAGGACTCCTGATGACTCTTCATCCATGGCTCTCTCTGGTTGGCTGTCTCTCTGTGGTCACACATCCATGTAGCCTTCTGGGCCTTCTCCTAATTTGGTCTGTTCCCCCCAGCCCCTAACAATCTATCAGCCTATACAATCAGGACTCAGCCCCCCACCCGGCTGCTCTGGAGTCTTGTAGCTCGTGTCACTTATCTTGTGTTATGAGACAATATGGTACACACTTCTTTGGTTCCCAGGCTGTGTCCTTGTTGTGTTAGGCAACCTGTCTGCCTTGAAGGCTGTGATCTTGTGTCATGGCATGCCCCCGCTTAATTCTCAGGCTGTGCCCAGCTGGTGGCCTTGTTGTGCTAGACAGCCCGTCTGTTTTCAGGGCTACATGGAACTGAGACCAAGGCCCCTGTGTGGCTAGAATTCTTAGTCCTGCCATGTACGAGGAAAGTGGGAACAGGAGGTCCTGCTCAGTTGGCATTCCCCGAAGCACAGAAGTGCTAACTGTAGCAAATGCTGCCATTCCCCCAATGAAAGAGACAGAAACAGGGCTTGAATGACCACTCGCTCTCTCACATCCAAAAGCATCCTGCTGAGCACTTCACCTGCACGTGCTCCCCAAGACTTTCCAGACCCACCACTCCACCTCAGCAGCTCTGGCCCCTACCTGATGGCCCCCAGCAAAGCCAGCCGGACAGTCTCTGGGTTCATGTGGTTGGGGTTCAGTGCGTTCAGGTAATTTGTATCTCGATATCGCAGGAAAGTTGCAGCTTGTCCAGATGGATCGATGATCAGGGGCCACCTGCATGAGTAGGAAAGGCAAAGGCCCCAGCCATTAGTCAGGATGGGGAATCCTAGAGATTTGGAGCTGGCAGGGAGCTCCAGAGGTCACATTTAGTCCAACCCCTGCCTGAGGCAGGATCAGCCCTGTCCAAACCATCCCAGACAAACCTCGTGTCTGACCTCTGAGCAACATGACAGTCACCCCAGACACAGCACAAGATTTAACACCCTAATCAGCCACAGGTAAAGCAGGGGGACCATGGCAACCAATGCCCTGATGCTGTAAAGGTTATTAATAAACGTTTGAGAGGTCCCAGGAAGAGGGCCACGCCCCCCGCTACAGAGGAAGGCAAAACCCTCCCAGTCCGTACCAATCTGACCATGGCATAAAATTCCTTCCTGACCCCAAACATGATGATCGTTCTGACCTGGATTGAAGAGGAAAAGCCAGAAACCTCTGGATTTAAGTCAAAATCCCCAACTGAAGCCAGCATTCAATGCCTCTGAGGAAGGCTTTAAAAAAACTTGCCATTTTTAGCAGTGGGGGCATGGAGGGAATTCCCTCCCAGGCTCATGGAACTACCAGCAAAGCCCACAAGCCTGGAAAATACCCATAAGTTGGACACCTCCAGTGGTGGAGAGTCCACAAACTTCTGTAGGCCTCACTATTCCACTGCCTCCCTGTTCTAACAGGGAAGAAATTTCTTCTGATTTCCAATCTAAATGTATTTTGCTGCAACTTCAAGCCATTGGTCCACATCCTCCCCACTGCAGCAAGAGAGAAAAGGAGTTCTCCCTCTTCTTTATGGCAGCCCTTCAAGCATGTGACAACTGCTGTCATGTCCCACTTAAGCACTTTTTCCCTCAAGCTGAATGTTAGGGTGACAATATTTGGATCTTGGGGAGCACTGGATTTCCAGCTGAATGAAGGCTTTGCCTGTGGCCTAGCACAGCTGCTGACCACAAGGCAGAATGATATCTAAGCCAGCCATTTGCTTATGCACATCTTAACTGTGTCAACCATTTTCAAGTGAGTCTGGGTGAGTTTGTGTGCTGTGAATGAGGTAAAGCTTTAGGAATGTGGAAGATGGTAGAACCTAGAACAGAAAAACAGACTGGAATGTGAAAAACAACACGTACTTAGTAACAGAATCCAAGATGAACATATGCAAAAAGGTGAATGATGATTGGTAAAGAAGGCTCCAGAAGCTTCCAGGTTTTGGTCAGTCTTCCCATTGACCGAAGAAGAGAAGTCAAGGTCTTAGAAATATGCTCATAGCAAAAAGACATGTAAATGAGTGAAATGCATAGGCAAGTCCATGTTAAAGTAGTAAACAGTAAACAGAGGCGGGGCTTGAGATGGGAGGAAAAGTGGGTGGAACAGGAGGAGGGACGAAGGTGAAGTCAATGTTAATGAACCTAAACCAAAGTGTATAAACGTGGGAAAAAACTATTGTTCACTGCAGGTCCCCTAGTTCACGGGCTGTGTGTCTGAGAGGGACCCTTGTCCGAAGCTGTCTCCATTCTGAATAAAGCTGTTGCAAGCAATGTGTGCTGGTGTTTGCTCCCTGCTTGCCCTGTCTAATGAGTAACAGGATCCATGGGCAATTGGATCGTCATCTCCCTAGTCGTTGGGTGCCGCATGGAGTCAGGGTCTAACAGTGAACATGCCTAGCTCCTTCAGCTACTCCTTGCATGACCTGCTTTCCAAGCCCTTGATCATTTTTGTTACCTGCCTCTGGACCCTCTCTCACTTCTCCACATATTTTTAAAATGTGGAGCCCAGGACTGCACACAGTATTCAGATGAGGCCTGTGTGGCAGAAATGCCACCGTCGGTGCCCCTCTCCAGAGATCTGTCTCTGCCAGCCTGAGAGGCTGGTGTTGAATCCCTCAGGGCGGGGATCTCCTACCTAGTCTACATGACAAAAGCCTGGGGCCTGAATGCTCTGGTCACCTGGGCAGGGGGTGGAAAAGCCCGGCCCTGTGCATGGGCCCAGGTAGCCAGGGATGCTTGGTAGATTGGTCGGCTTGTGGCCAGTATTGGCAGCTTCGATTGGACCGGGCTGCTGAGGTCAGAGAGGTTATAAAAAGGCCCGGGCCAGGAAGAAGGGGAGCCATTAGCCATGCGGTCATCCAGGTGAATCTGAAACGGGCTCTCTCCTCATCACCGCATGCTCCAAGAGTGCCCTGCCTCCAGAGGAAACTCCAACCACCTCTGGACGATGCGAGTAAGCTACTCGAGATCCGATTAGATATTTAGCTTACAGTAATTCAGATGCGTGTTTAAACGGCTACCTCAGCCACCCTGGTTTGCTCTATGGGATTCCTCTGAGATTCCTCTGATATTTCTATGATATTGTTCTACCTTTTACCCTGTTTCCGCCCTACCCCTGTAATCAATAAAGTTCTCCTTTGTGACCGGTGTGGGAGACTTATTGAGGGGTGGGTCTAAATTATGCCGAGGAGGGCCCTTAGGTCTGCGGACTAAGGGAGACTTTCCTAATAAGCCCCTGACTTGGGAAGTGCCCCAAGTGCCTGTATTGGGTCTAGTACCCATTGGACGATCAGACCTGTGTTCTCCAAGGTGCGCAGAGCCAGAATTGAGTCCAGAGCCTTGGATGGTGGCAGCGGGAACCCCAGGCTAGCGGGTGTGCTCCAGGGAAGGGGTCGGCCGGATGGGAGGCACTCCAGGGAGGCACTCGGAGCCTGGAAGGTGGTCGGGCACAGGGAGGTGGGCGGCTCAGCGCAGGAGCACCCCCTACTGGCCTGCCACAGCCTGACCAGTGCCAAGTAAAGAGGCACTATCACCCCCAGGTCTTGCACCCTCATGCTTCTATTGACGCATCTAAAAACTGCATTCATCTTTTGAGCAGTTGCATCATACTGCACTCATACAGAGTCTGTGATCTACCAAGACTCCCAGATCCTTTTCTATAGTGCTGTGATCCAGCCAGGTGTCACTTGTTTTATATCTGTGTTTTTTATTATTCTTCCGGAGGTGGAGCACCTTGCACTTGACTTCAGGAAGGCCTTTAGACTTCAGGAAGGCCTTCGATACGGTACCCCACCCCATACTGGTGAACAAGTTAAGAGGCTGTGACTTGGATGACTACACAGTCTGGTGGGTGGCGAATTGGCTAGAGGGTCGCACCCAGACAGTCGTAGTGGATGGGTCGGTATCGACCTGGAAGGGTGTGAGCAGTGGAGTCCTGCAGGGCTCGGTCCTAGGACCGATACTCTTCAATGTCTTCATCAGCGAATTGGACAAGGGAGTGAAGGGGACTC